TTCTATTGCTCTACAGAAAGGAACAGTTAGTGATTACTTGTTTGATCAACCTTATATATCTCTATTTGTTTTCCTGAGAAACCACTTTGAAGATACCAATAAGTAATACAATAACCATGGTTAATTTCCTACAACTTTGTCTGTAACTCTGTTTTGTTTGTATTGTTCTTATGCTATTTTGTAAATGGATGTCTGTCTGCTATTATGCTTTACTTCTTTTATTTTTTAAAATAAAAAAAAGAGCAAGAGCAAGCACTCAATGAAAGCATTTCCCAGCAGAAATGAACTGGTCAGTCCACTTGGTGAGAAGGACACTTCCTGAGAAACCTGACAATTAGCTCTCTCTTTTACCATTATGAAATCTATGATTTAAACAATGTCTAGATGCCTTCTCCTTTTGAGTGAAAAAGGGTGCTTTTTATTGTACAAAGCAGAGTCTTCTGTGTTTTGATGTACCACTGTTTGACCTTCTCTGTCTTAGCTGGTAGGTTCTCTGAGACCCTGACCTGAATATGCGGTGTATCCATGAGAGAGGTTTCTGGGAAGACTCCTTCTGCCCTCGGAAAAGCGAGCTGGCAGTGTCTGGGCGACTGTGTCATGCTCCACCTGTGAGAACATCTTTTGATCTAGGTTTTATTTCTGCTCTTTATTGAAGACAAACATTCACCAATAAGGGAAAAGGAAAAACAGTTTTGAAAGAAACTAATTTTCTTTGACAAGAGTATTACTTACTATTTTGGCCTATTAAAGTTTCCTTAGGACTCGGATTCCCTGTGCTGATTATTCGACTTCCATATTATTATAGAGACACTGTTTACTCTGTACCAAGCTGATCTTAACAGCACTGCATTGAAATAAACTGGTGACTGTTTTTCTCTGTAAAAACAAAACAAAACAAAAAAAAAAACAGAAATGTCTATTTTGTGCCACTGGATGTTGGAAGTGTTTAACTTTCTTTTCGTTTGTACAGGAGCTTGCAGCTAAGAGTTTGCCCTAAATCTCAAGAGGAGACTTTGGACTTGAACTCTTGAGCAGTGCTGAAACTGCTGGGACTTGGGCATGGACTCTTACACATGGACTAAACGCCTTTTGCGTACAAGGATGTGCATGAGTTTTTGGGGGAGCAGGGGCAGAATGTTTTGGCTTGTGTCTTGATGTCCCCTCAAAGCCTCTTTTGGGTCATAGGTGGGGATTTTTCAGAGGTGGTTGGCTCTAGAGTGTGTGATGCTGCCGGCGCAGTGCATGGATCAAGGGCACTAGGACTCAGGCTGTGAGTGTTACCTATCCTAAGAAGCCTAGATAAGCTATAAGGGATAGAAACAGCTGTGACAGTCCTTTGCTTGCTTTGCTGCCTTCTACCTGCCGTGAACTGTTTCACCTCTGTGATCCATCTGCCATGCTACCCTGCCTTGGATCCAGCCAACTATGCACTGAAACCTCTACAAACCTCCAAATAAGCCTGTCCCTCTTTAACTTTGGGTGTTGGGTATTTTGTCCCACCAAGAGAAAAGTAACTAAAATACAGGTAGACAGCACTGATAGGTCTATGACCATATCCTCCAGTCTACTGGAGGATTTATGTCCTTTCTAATGTCAGGCCAGCTTCACTTGTTTATTCTAAGTCATATTAAGGTCCTCATAACAAGGACACTAACTTATTCCTTTCTGTTTATATCATGAAATACTGGAGAGTTATGATACATAATTTGTAAGGAAAAAAGATTATGGCACTTTTGTTATTTTTAAGCCTTGTATTGTGGTGGTAGAAGTCTCATAGGTATTTCCCTCTCTCTTGCTAAGAACACTGGGTGGCAGGGGAGGAAGGGAGGGAAAAGACAGAAGGGAGGAAGGTGATGAAGTGGAGGAAGACACTACCACACAGGATGGATAGGCCAATCTTGAGTAGTAAATTCAGAGTTTCTCAGAGAAAAGGAACACTTGCTATCACCTGAGTACTAACCCAGGGTTAGGAGTAATTTTGGAGATCTGGGTGGGTACAGGAAGTTCATGAAGACCTGGCAGATTATCCGATGGTTGACTGGGCAGCAGCACCGGGCCTGCTTGTCTGTTAGTCCTCCCCGCAGGAGTCCTAAGGAGGAGGAGCAGGAGGACCGGGGGCAGGGATCAGAGTCCCAGCTCGGGTCTCTCCCACCCCAGCAGGGCACAGAGCCCCGTGTGCAGAGGGCAGCTCCAGTGAAGGACACATATGAAGGGAGCCGAGGGCTCGAGGCCAGGTGTGGTGGGGCACGAGGATGGGGCATGCAGTGGGCAGTGCCACCCTGAGCTGCAGGTCCAGGAGCCCCGCCCATGCAGGAGAGGCAGCTCAGGGGAGCTGTCCTCTACATCGGGATGGAGGGTGCATGTTCCCGCCCCGCTGTTCCCGTGGCTGCAACACACACGTTATCCTCACTCAGAGCAGCTTGGTAACAGCAGCACTCGCCATGCTCGGGAGCAGCCAGGCTGAGCTCCCAGGGCCCCCTGTGAGAGGCAGGAAGCCCTGAGGTTTCACCTGGGCTCTGAGCTGGAGGCTGGTGGGTGTGCTGGGGCAGGTGACCCCGGAGCATCTGAAGCAGCAGAGCAGGTGTCCTGTGCTGCGTGCAGCAGGAGGCAGTGTCCTGCACTGAGGGAGTGCAGGGAGCAGCCAGGCTGCGGGGCGAGGAGAAGCGCAGGCCTCAGAGCTCTGCCCCACTGTGTGGTGACTCCAGGCCACTGCGAGGACGCGTGCAGCCTGCAGCCCCTCAAGATTCCTGCTCTCAGCTGTCAGGGGGAGGTTTCCTTCACCACTGTGACGTTAGCATCAGTGAGGAAGGACGAGGAAATGGGGCTCCTGAGAATGTACAGTCCGTGTAGTTTGACTGCCCCGATCCTGCTTCATGGACTCTGGTCAATGCTCTCCCTGCTGTGTTACCATTGTGTGTGGAATGTGGGTTTCCTCCACTTTCGACCATCAGTTTTACGGTGGTGCAGTTCATGTGCTATTCACATCTAATGAATGACTTCCCTGCGGTATGCCTCCATGAAACACTGGAGAGATGTACTGGAGAAAGAAAGCCAGAAAAGCAGAAGGGGAAAAGGCAGGAAAGCAAAATGTCAAGAAAGGAAGCAAGCATGGAAGCAACCACCACCACAACAACTCAGTAAAAAGACAGTGTGTTTCTTTGGAGTCCTTCCTCCAACCCAGGACACTGTCTCTCACTGACCACCCCTTCACAGGGCTGCCCATCTCTGCCCCAGCCTCCGCAGGGCGTCCTTCACATCCTTGTTCCGCAGACTGTAGATGAGGGGGTTGAGCATCGGGATGACCTGGGTGTAGAAGATGGACACCACCTTGCCCTGCTCCATGGACTCCACAGCTCCTGGCTGTGCGTACATGACAAACACTGTCCCATAAAACAGGGACACGGCTGTCATGTGAGACCCACAGGTGGAGAAGATCTTCGCTCTCCCCAGTCCTGAGCGCATCCTGAGGATGGTCACTGTGATATAGCCGTAGGACACCAGGATCACTAATACAGTGCTCACAATGATGAAGCCACAGATGCCAAACAAGAAAAGCTCATTGAGAGCTGTGTCGGCACAGGCCAGCTGCAGCAGGGGCGGCACGTCACAGAAGAAGTGATCGATGCGGTTGGAGCCGCAGAAGGGGAGCTGGAACGTGAGGCTGGTCTGCACGATGGAGTTGAGGCAGCCTCCGCAGTAGCAGCCCAGCACAAGGCGGGCACACATTGTAGAGGACATAGTCACGGGGTAGCGCAGGGGGCTGCAGATGGCCACGAAGCGGTCATAGGCCATCACAGCCAGCAAGAAGGCCTCCGTGGTAGCAGACAGGGAGAAAAAGCAGAGCTGAGTGGTGCATCCTGCAAATGTGATGACCTTGGAGGAGAAGAAGCTAGCCAGGGCTTTGGGGGCGATGACAGACGAGTAGCAGAGGTCCAGGAAGGACAGGTTCTTGAGGAAGAAGTACATGGGGGAGTGCAGGCGGGCATCCAGGGTGACAACTATGATCATGGTGAGGTTGCCCATGACGGTCACCATGTACAGTGTCAGGAACACGGTAAAGAGCAGGGCCTGGGTTGCCGCTTCTCCCGGGAATCCCACCAGCACAAACTCCTGCCACAGGACTGCTGAGAGGTTCCCCTGTCTCCAGGTTGTCATAGTCCTGAGCCGGGACAGCTGTGTAGAGAGGACGGTGGAGGCAGTGACAGGGTGCAGGTCACAGTTCCGTGCTCACACACCCCATGCGTTAGAAGGACTCTTCGGTACCCCAATGCCCGCTGACAAGAGGCCACTGCCTTCCTGACTGTCCTCCAAGATAAGCTCACTGTGCCCTGAAAGGGGGCATTGTGTCTGATTTACTGAATTCATGACTAACAATGAACCTCTTCCTGTGCAGGAGAGTGTGTGCTCTACACTGCTTGCTGTAAAGAAGCATCCAGAGCTGAGTGACCCTCGGTGTAAGGACAGCATGATGGCAACCCTTGTCTGCCTCTGTGATCCCCGTCCTCCCACTGCTGTGCGAAGCTGCAGAGCCACGCTGCTTCTGTACCTGGCTCTTTGTCCCATCCCACTCTGCCCACTCCAAGCTGACTCACCTGCTGGTTCAGGAAACAGTTACGGGCACCTCTTGCCACTGTGACTTGGGCCAGTGCATGTCCCATCTCCAGGCTGCCTCTCTTGGTTTCCCCTTCAGGACCCCAAGTTTCAATCAACTTCTCTGAGCCTGAGCTTGGGCCATGGTTTGTTCAAACTGTTGAGTTCAAAGCTCTCTGCCTCCTTAAGGACATCAGGGACTTCTGCCAATGCCCCAGTGCTGGGAAGGGGCTGGTTCAGCCCTGTGGTTCAGAAATAGTAGGACTCGTGCTGTCATGTTGAGCTACAGCCTGTGCTCAGTGCCAGACTGTGCCCTGCTCACCTGCAGTGGCGGGGGCTTCACAGAGCTCTGGCTCTTTCTCACTTGGAAAGCAGCTGGCCTGTCTCAGTCTCATCTCATGTGTTGACCTCACCTACCAGGTGAGTCAGACTTACCCACGATCACACAGATGGTGCCTGGGCTTTCAGGGTCTCCATGCTCTTGAGCTTGGTTGTAGTGAAGATAATAAGCTGGACACTCAGGCCTCCCAGTTCTTCTGCAGTTCAGATCCCACTTCCTCAGCAGCAGAGTGCGGTGGGCTCCTTGCATCCAGCAAGTGACTGCTGGTAGAGGTTCTGGCTGAAGCAAGCTTGTGGGTCTCTGTGGAAATGGGAAGGGGGGCTCCCTCACCTCTCCCCTGTCCTATCCTCTGCACCCAGACAGCGCACCGAGGCACCTGCCCTTGAGGTCACTCTGCTGGGCAGGATTCTCTGTACCTGGGCCTCCAATGACCAATTAGAGAATCTCTGGGCTTCTTCACTGCACTGGGACTCCAACTCCCTGGGCCCTAGGAGCTGTAGTACTATGAACAATCTTTGTTGCATCATCTTCTAATGAGGGGATGGCAGAAGCCTGAGTCACTCAGGGACCCCTGGAGGGACCTTTAGGAGTGCAGCAGAGACAGCTCAGAGGGATCTGCATTGTGACCCTCAGAGCAGGAACCTCTGGGTGGGGGTCCTTTGGCCTTCTGGTCTTTGCCCCACTTCTGCTCTGTCCTGGCCTTGCTGGCATGAAGATGAGGAGGGAGACATTTCTACCCAGACCCATTTCTCTGCCTGCACAGGCTACTGGTCTCCTCTGAGCATTACGCTATAGTGCAATCAGGATGTTAAATAATGTCACCTTTGAATTCCCTTTCCAATTTTTCCTTTGCATAATCTCTAACAATTTCTTTCTCTTTCTAAATGTGTATCTAAATGAATATGTTTGAAAATTCATCAAAATGTGATTACAGGAAAGGAGAATGCTTTCCCTTTGTCCCAGTCATCCTCTGTCCCTTACCAGTAGCTGTGCGTTTGTCCACCCCTGTGTGCATACCTGGACTCTACTTCTGGTGTCCTTGTCTCAGCTGGGTCTCCACGCTCACTTGTTCTGCAGCATTTTCATTCGACAGTTTTTATGGGTGATGTTCTGCTGAGTGTATGGATCGGCGTGCTGCCCGAGTGCTTCCATGTGTGTGTGAAGTGTCGAGTACTTCTCCATCTTTCTACTGAGAAACACTCCAGTGTGATGCTCCCATCCCCAACCGGGATGTGGTCAGTGCACCCCCTGTGCCTCTGCTAGCATTTCCCTTGGCTTGAGTCCTACAGCTGGAGAGCTGGCCTTATTTGGGCAAATGATACCTAGTTTTCTCTGGGAATGTATAATTTATTTTAAGCCAGTGGCACGTTTTTGTTAATTGTCCCCAAAATGTCAGATGTTAAAGGCGTGGTCACCACTGTGGTACTACTGGGAGTCTGGGGGCCTCTGATAGGTGGACCCAGTGAGGAGAAAGTGAGGTCACCGGGGAGCATCCTCCATGGGGTGGCTTGGACCTCAGCCTCTTTTGTGCTCTTCCTTTCCTGCCCTGGCTGCTGTGAGGTGCACAGCTTCTTCCCTTCACGACTGACCATGGTGAGCTGCTTCACCACAAGCCCCAAAGCAATGGGACAAATCAGCCCCAGGCTGAAGCTGTCAGAACTGTGAGGCGAAGTATTCCTCTGCTCCTTATAACTGGATTAGTTCAGGTATACTTTTATAGCAACTGAAAGTTGGTGAGCTAAATTTTTACTACAATTATTGGTGCATACTCCTTCTACAGAATCATGGGTTTCATTGTAACATTTTCTTTCTTCTTTAATTTTAAAGAAAAAAAGGCTAAACAAACAATAAAATCCAGTTTCCAAATAGGTTAGTAGGACAGTTACAATGGCTGATACATTACATATTGTTGTCTTCATATTAGTTAATCAGAGTAAAAGATACAGGCATGATATTGTGTCTAAACAATATTAGCACAAAGCATTCTTTTCAAGGAACTATAGAAGCTAGCTGTAAAACTATCCCCCCCATTGCAGTTTGTCTTTTCTTTTGCAGTTATTTCACAGTTCAGAATTTCTATTGTACATTTTGGATCCTATTTTCTTGTTCAATTTCTCACACTAGTGAGACAATACTGTTTACCATATGTGTCTCATTTATTTCACTTATGAGTATGGTCTCGAGTTGCATCCATTTACCTATAAAAGTCTCCAGCTTATACTTTATGGCTAAGTAATACTCCATTATATAAAAAAAACCATAACTTTCTGATCCATTCCTTGTTTTTTTTTGTTTTTGTTTTTGTTTTTTTTTTGGTTTTTCTCCGGTACCAGGAACCGAACTCAAAACCTTGCACTTGCCAGGCAGGTGCTTTGCCACTGAGCTAAATCCCCAGCCCTCTGATCCATTCCTTGGTTGATGGGTGTTTATGTTGTTTCCAAAATTTAGCTATTACAGATTGTGCTGCTATAAACATGGGTGCATATACTTCACTGTGGTGTGATGTTTTTAACTCTTCTGGGAAGATAGTGACAAAGGCAATAGCTGGTTTGAATGGGACTTCTAATCCCAGTTTCTTAAGGAACCTCTACACTGATTTCCACAGTGGTTGCACCAGTGCACATTCCCATCAGCCATGGAGAATGGCTCCTTTTTCCCCACAACCCCTCCAGCATTTGTTATTGGTTGATTTTTTGATGATAGCCATTCTTGCTGGGGTGAGATGGAATCTCAGTGTTGTTTTAATTTACATCTTTCAAGTGACCAATGATGTTGAACACTTTTTCATGTATTTATTTGCCATTTGTAGTTCTGCAGATGTTCTAGATAAAAGTTCTTTGTCTGAGGGACAGATGGCTATAATTTTTTTCCCATTCTGTGGGTTGTTTTTTCATTCTGTTGGTGATTCATTTTATTGTGCAAAAGCTTTTTTTATAAGGTGAAATCCCATTTGTTGATTCTTTGCAGTATTTCCCTTGCACTCTGGGTTTTGTTCATGAAATCCATGCCTATACCTATGTCTTTGAGATTTCTATCTATTTTCTCTTCTAGTAAATTTAGTGTTTCTGTTTCAATATTTAGATATTTGATCCATTTTAGTTTAGTTTAGTGCATGGTGATAGACATGGGTCTAGTTTTGGTCTCTACATGTGGAAAGCCAGTTTTTCCAGCACCATTTATTAAAGAGACTATGTTTCTTCCAGTGACCATGTTTGGCCCTTTTGTCAAAGATAAGGTGGCTGAGTGTGTTTGGGGATGCATCTTCTATTCTGTTCCACTGATCCTCTGTTCTGTTCCACTGATCCTCAGGCTGTTTATTTGCCAGTACCGTGCTGATTTTACCACAGTAGCTTTGTAGGATAATTTCAGGTCTGGGATTGTGATGTTCCCTGACTTACTTTTGTTGCCCAGAGTTGCTTTTGCTATCCTAGGTCTTTTCTGGTTTCAAATGAATTTTAGGAATGTTTTCTCTAGATCTATGAGATATGGTAATAGTATTTTGATTGGGTTTGCATTAAATCTGTATAGCAGTTTTGGGAGTATGGCCATTTTCACTATACTGCTTCTTCCTATCCAAGAGCAAGGGATATCTTTCCATTTTCAGATATCCTTTTCTGATATCCTTTTTAGGGTACAGTAATTTTTATTGTATAGATCTTTTACATCCTTTGTTAGAGTGATTCCTTCAGATATCTTTTTCTGATATCCTTTTTAGGGTACTGTAATTTTTATTGTATAGATCTTTTACATCCTTTGTTAGAGTGATTCCTTCAGATATCATTTTCTGATATCCTTTTTGTGGTACTGTAATTTTTATTGTATAGATCTTTTACATCCTTTGTTAGAGTGATTCCTAAGTATTTAATTTTTTGGATGCTACTGTGAAGGGTGTGCTTTCCCTAAATTCTCTCTGTGATAGTTTGTTGCTTGTGTGCAGGAATGTTATTGAACTTTGAGTGTTGACTTTGTATCCTGCTACACTACTGAATTTGCATATTAAATTTACATGCTTTTCAGTGGAGTTTTTGGGGTCTTCTATGTAGAGCAACATGTCATCTACAAATAATGATAATTTAACTTCTTCCTTTCTTATTTTTATCCCTTTTATTTATTTTATTTTTTGTCTTTTTGAGACAGGGTTGTACTATGCAGTTCAGACTGGCCTTGAGTTCACTTTGTAGCCCAGGCTGGTCTCAAACTTGCAGCAATCCTCCTGCCTCAATCT